ACTAAGACAAAACCTGTGGTATTAAGTTATGATTCTAAGTGCCCTGCCAAAAAATTTTGAAAACACATTCCCTTATCTTCTGTTTGCTACAAAGTAAACATTTCCTCAGCCTAGAGGATTTGGCCTTGGAGTCCTCTGCAATTGAGAAGCAATTCAAGTGGTCTTCGTACCATAGCTGATACTTTGGGCAAATTTCCAGGTGCCAGAAAATAAAGACCTGAGAATGACTAGATATTATATGTGATCTTCCCTTAAGGCAAGTGTGTGAGAGTCAGGGGAAGAAAGAGGGATTTAAGATACCCACCATGAAACCTTACAAGTGCCCACTAGGGTTTGGGCCTGAGTCCTGACTCATACTTGGAAAAGAGGTATGTCAGGATTCTGCCAGAAAAATAGAACCAGTAGAATGAATGGATAGATGGATGGATGGATAGATAGATAGATAGATAGATAGATAGATAGATAGATAGGGATATGAAGAAATTTATTGCAAGGAGTTGGCTTACATGATTTTGGGGGCTGGCTGGTCAGGTCCTAAATTTGTAGGGTAGGCCATCAGGAAGTACAGGCTGGAAACTCTTGGGCAGGAGTTGTCCCTGAGGTCCTCAGGTAGAATTTCTTCCTTTTTAGGGAAAAATCAGTTTTGTCCTTACCCCTAAATACTTCAGTATGTAGTTACTAAAATCAAGAACATTCTTTTACATAACCATATTACAATTGTCAAGATTTCAATTGTTGTTAATGCAACTTACAGGATCGTGTCTATTCAAGCCATCAAGGACAATATCCTTTACACAAAAAAGTCAACTAATTCTAGATATTGATTGCATCAACACAGTTCCTTCATGGCAACACCTAAGATTAGTGTATAACTGAGTTACTGGGTACAGTAACCTAGCCAAGTTGAGACATAAAATTGACCATCTTTGGAGGCATACTACCAAGTAAAAAGCTAACCAAGGAGGCATTATCCACACCAAGAAATGCAATGGGTGTCCAAAAATATCCACCACTAATGGATGAATGGATAAAGAAAATGTGGTACATATACACAATGGAATATTATTCAGCCATAAAAAGGAAATCCTTTCATTTGCAACAACATGAATGGAACTAGAGGACATTATGTAAGTGACATAAGTCAGGCACAGACAGACAAATATCAAATGTTCTGACTCCTATGTGGGAGCTAGGAAGATTGATCTCATGAGAGAGTAGAATGATGATTATCAGAAGCTGGGAAGGGTAGTGAGGAAGGAGTTAAAGAGGGGTTGGTTATTGAGTACAAAAATACAGTTAGATAGAAAGAATAAGATATAATGTTTGTTAGCACAATAGGGTGATTTTAACCCTATTAACAATAGTTTATTGTATATTTCAAAATAACTATGAAAAGGAATTGGAATGTTGCTAGCACAAAAAAAATGATAAAATGTTTAAAGTGATAGATATCCCAATTACCTTGATTTGACCATTACACATCGTATGCTTGTATCAAAATATCACATGTACCCCATAAATATGTGCAACTATTATGTATCCATAAAAAATAAAAATAATATTTTTTAAATTGCTGAGAAGTTTAGTACAATATTAACTAAATGTGATTAGTGCAGTCATTTCTGACCTTGGCTACCTTTTGAAATGACCTGGAGAACATTAAAAAAATACAGATGTCTGGGCACCATCCACAAAAATTCTGATTTAATTGGGCTTAGGTATGGACTGGTGTTTGGATTTTAAAATATTTCCTGAGAATTCTTGTGTACAAAGTTAAGAATCCATGGTCTGATGGATTTGGCACTTTGGAAGTATTTGTGGACCTTGGCAAGAGCCATTTTGGAGGAATGGAGGAGACAGAGGCAAATTAGGTAGGTCAAGGAGTCAAATCTATTACGATCTTACATTCTTTTGATAGAGCAATGTTAAAGCCCTTTCATGTTCCTTATCTACTAAACAGAACTACTGTACTTGGTAATAAGCTTGTCTTAGGACACTTTTTAATTATTCCTTAGGTCTATGGCTCTCAACCCAGGCTACTATTAGAACCATTCAGGGCACTTTTTAAAAACACTCATAGCCTGTCCCTTCTACCTTAGGTCAGTTAAGTTAGATCCTAAGAATGGGAACAGGGTAAGGGATTTTTTTTTTAAACATCCCAGGGTATTAATGGGCAGCCAGGGTAGAAACGATTTTCTGGGTACTGCTCAGAAGCTATGTCAATTTGTTGTTTTCTTAGTGCTGAAATATCTAGGGAAGTGGAGATTCTTCAGGACCTATGGACAGGCACTGAAGATCACAAGATGCCAGGTACTAAATGGAAAATGATAGAAAGGAACTTCTGTTGGTCAAAACTCTCAGTGGAAGCACAAAGTCTGTAGACTCCTCAAGACTTTTCCCTCCCAATGCTTACTGTAAGAAGTGAAATACTACCAAGGAGAAGGGCTGAAATTAGGGGGAAAATATGACATTTGCCCCCTAGGAGAAAGGGTTTTTTTTTTCCTGACCAATGCATTGTGCAACTCCAGGAGGCCCCATTAACACAGAATTCTATATGAACAGTGTCTTCTGGAACTGAGATGCAACAGCCCTGCCTATAATTACCTTAATGAAAAATGCACACCTTTGAGTCAGGCTGGATAGATAGTATTGCCCCTTCCTGGATACTGGGCTTCACATTGCTAACAACATTTACCAAGTGATTGCAAGTCACATTGCTTGTTATCATCAGTAAATTACCCTCAAAAATTCCTAGTGCCACAACGATTTTATAAGGGGCTAAGCTCTGGTAATAGAAAGTCAATAGTTTTAGTTTCTAGCTTTTGAGGTAGGCAGCTGGAACTACAGCCAAAGGATTTCAGAGTTCACAAAAGTGAGATCAAAGACACTTGCTGATCTCTGTTCAATCTCTAATTTTCCTATGTCTTTCTAAGTGACATAGAAATGGTAGGCTTTGAATTTGCTATAAAAAATATTGCTAAATATATGCTTGGTTTTTCAATATCCTTTTAGCTCTTTTACTTACTTAGCTATGTGACTTGACAAGCTGTTCAATCTCTTTCAGATTCTGTTTCCTCATGTGTAAACTAGGGACACGCTATAGTAGTGATCAGTGCTCTTCACCAAATATTTCCTGTTCCTCACCT